TTCTTTATTGAATAATTTTCACTAGAAGTACTAAGTGTTCATGAAATTAGGCCTGTATAATTTGTTATTCTCTATGTACTGCTTGATAACTTCGCGCTCTGTTTTGCCTTTAAGGGACGAAGGCTGGAGAGTACGATTGGGATGCCGAAATTGCGGTCCTAGACGTCCATGTATATCTGTACGCGGTGCTCCTGCATCTAGATTATTAGTTCGTCTAATCCATCTCCTGATAGACAATAATTATGTAGCTTAGCTAGAACTGTAACAACTCGTGGAGCGCGTTTAAAATCTAAACGCATGGGGTGCCATAGAAGGCCCCATTTTCGGACCATGATTCCAATGGCCTGCTCGATATGCATGCGAGATTGGGACTGGAAATAATTGTATGCGTCCCATGCATCGCCCAATGCTTCACGAGTGCCAGGATAGGGTGTAAGCATATGATTGGTACATCAGTAGGCTGAATCACCCAGTACGTAGTAAAACATGGGTAAATTTTCTACTAGCAGGTCAAACCTGCTATATTTCTAAGCTCGACGATCGTGCATACTACAATATGCCATGATAGAAAATGCAACAAACTTATAGTTTGCATCACACATGGCTTGGGCATTCAGCCCATAACCAGTCTTATGTCCAGAATATAAACGACGCCTATACTGACATCTATTTAATGGAGGAAAAGCTACGCGCACAAATAAGCCATCGGCGACGGCAACACAACGGCTAATCACCCCGTGAGTAGAGTGTGATTTCAACTCTTCTGCTGCTTTGGCAATCTCTTCTTCCTCTTTTGGAAAGCGGAAATACAGAAAACTCAAACCATCAATTGCGTATAAAACTCTCCAGAATATGTAGTAAACAGCAGCAGAAGAAATCTCAAACGCAATTTTAATATCTTGGTATTTTCCGCCGGCTGCTATACGCAAGAAGACAGCAAGTTGTACCTCCACATCTATTGCACCTCTTTTCAACATGCCCATCTTTTTGATTCTTCTGCATGATTCGTTTATCTCACGTGCAAGAAACAAAAACTTTGGGTACTTCATACGAAACGTGTTTTCAAAGCTGCGTTCTGCTTGTAGCAGAGCGCAGAGTGTTTGCCAGTTCGCGCGAGTACGAGAAACAAGCGTCCCTCTATTGCACTTCACCTGAAAGCTGGAAAGTCCGTCACCCACTCTGTCCCTTTCCATTGCTCTCAGCAGCAAGTAAAGTTTAGACAGCATCACTCGTCGCTTGTGTGTTACCGCCTTGTTCTTTAAGAGCGACATTGTTATTATGAACTACTTCCTGTATATAGTATAGTACACTACAGCCAACAGAAGATTCATAAAGTATGTATGCAATGATGTACTGTACTCTAGTATACTATAACAAACAAAAACTAAAAAGTTTGTTTACAAAATGTGAAAATGTCAAAACGGCTCACAAAACGATGTTTTGACACTCAATATTCTACCATATTGCAACCAATAGAAAGACGCAGCATTGCTCGTATATTTTGAGCTGCATAGGTATACTAATTTTTATTGGATTTCATCAACCACTAGGATGGCAAAAAAAAAAAACTGAGCCAAGGACCGTCTCAAAAGTACCCTTTAATTTTATTTACTTTTAATGGAGACCTCTCGTTAAGAACCACCCTAAGACTATTGTGAGAATAGCAGTATTTGGGCAGTCAAAAAACTATATCCATCCTCCTTGTTGAACATGAAAGTACCCACAGCACAATGTTGAACCGATCTGGATTCTGGTACATATTTAGTATCACTCTGATAAATATCATGATGGATTTATGTGATATTCTACAATTGTACCCTTCAATATTAAATATACAGTGATGAGAGTGATGAGACCTAAATACACCCACCTTTTTGTATCAAAGGTCATATAAAATATATCTTTTGTTTCCATTGACCGGTTGTTTTATATATTTATTGGTTTGACCGGTGGGTTTTATTTTTACCCTCTTAGCTCGAGGAAGTTCAAAAGTTGCCCTCTCGAGTCTCGACTCTCGCGTGTTTGAGACTGTGTGGCTGTGACTTGTGACTCTGTGAGTGATCAGTGATGTGACCCGTCTGAAAACATAGAAATTTACTCTATACTCTCTATATAAAGATTTGTTTTAAAAATTTGAAATAAAATATCGTATTTTTAAATAAATAAATATGAACTTCTACTACAACTTCAAGTCAATTATGAGCTGTCGATTTAAAAAAAATCAATCATATTCATAAAATATTTTTCAAGAATATATTTTTTCCTTTTGGCTTTTACTATAAATTTTTAAAACAAAATAGAAAAACCAAAAAGAAACAAAACAATACCAAAAAATAAATAAATAGTATTTTTTTTGAGACGAGCAGACCCAGTTCTGGTTGGACCAAGAACTCGTGTTTTTAAAAATATATTTATATATATATATTTATACATGTTCAAATGTATGTAAGTACATAAATACATAAATAGGAGTGGTACATAAACTGACCAGGTAAACGACATCGACGAGGTCGGAAAATTTGGGAAATAAACGACAGTATTGTACATACTAGAAAAATGAATAAACGACATGGTCGTTTATTTACATAAATACTTTGCGGCGGTGGCACTGGCGGACTTGCTTTATATACAACTCTACACTAAATCTTCTTCCCATCAATCTTTCCTGAACCACTACAGCGACTATGAGAGCCATACCATATGTTCATACATTGTATCATACATACTTGCCATTTTTGAAATAAATAATATTATCCCTACTACTATTACTACTAGTAGAGAGGTTCCTTTGTTGAAATGGTTGGCAAACTCGAATATAGTTATATAGTTGAACTTCTTTGTATAGCTATTTATACACACAGCCTGGTCGGTAAACAGCACAAAACTGTACATATAGCTAGCCGATATTCGAAGGTGACTGACTCAGTACACATTGTTGGTAAGATAGTCATCAGAGAACTCAGAGCGAAGATATGCCAGTCAGGAACAATAAGCGACTATAGGTTACCGACCGACATGTTAAATATTTAGCCATGTCGTTTTTAGGTATTATATATATATAAAGTAAAAAGACGATGTCGTTTACCTGGTCAGGAAATAAATAAATACAATAGTCAAATACACGGACAAACTGTCCGAAAGTGGAAAGAACGACCAAAAAAAACTTTTATCTCACAAATATTTGTAATATTTAATATTTCTAATACAGAAAGAAAACAAATTCTACAAATGATATCATATTGATATGGCAGTACTACACAGTACACAATAAAGTGCTGCAGGCGAACATCACGAATGCAAGCGTATAGTAAGTGTAAACGGACAAATCTGCACGATATACAACAACACAATCAAGATTGCCTCAAACATTCGAAAGCGCGATGTCTTTCTTCAAGAAAGTCGGTGATGCCTTGACTCATGGAGTCAAAGATGTTAAAGACGGTATTAAGGACTTCGAGTCTAAGCCCAGGTCTTCGCCTAAAATGGACAAGTCTTCCGGGAGATCTTCCACTAAAACGTCTATTAAATTACCCAGTGCAAAACCCTTTGTATCGAGAAAAGGTGACGAAGAGACACAGAAGCAGCTGAAACAGTTCGCGGCTAACAGTTTACGAGCTGATTCCGTCGCCATGCGAAAAGTGAGTTATTTGCGAGGTATCCAAGGCCCCGTAGCACAAACAAGTTTTCTGTTGCTGAAAATGTGTTTTGAGCGACTACGAGAGAAAACTATGAACACAGTGAAGTACAAAAAAATACTTGTTATCGATAAAGAGAGAGATACAGATACATGCGCATGCACAGCGTATACAAACGTGCACCAATTCCCCGCTCCTGTACAGTGAAGGTGCGTATTATATGTATACACACGCACGCGTACACATAAACACACACATTTACACACACGCATTTACACACACACAAATTTAAACACACACACATACATACACACACACACAAACACACAAACACACACACA